CGCAAAACACTGAAAGACCGATGATAAAGGATATATTATAAACAATAACATATATTTAAATGAAAATCTCCAATTAACAAATCATTTAGCGGAATTCAAATTTGTATGAACATACAGCAGTCATAACACAATTAGCAGTTTAAAAAGTGCTCAGAAATATGAATAAGTGTTTTGTAAACATTAGCACAAATTTGGCAATCCATTTTCTGTGCCGACGTGTTTTCACACATATATGCACAGTCCAGTATGGCAGTCAATATTTCCTGAACCTGTTATTGAAGAAGCATTAATGGACATCATTGAAAAGCTAAACATAAAAGAGGTGCGGTCGAAGTTACTATTAAAATAATTAAAAATAATGTAATTTATTTATTGAACCACTGACTCACATTTTCAATTTATCACTGTCAAGTACCTGATTTAATGAAAATGGGAAGGCCACTCCAATTCCAATTCAAAAGAAAACGAATATTATCATCCAATATCAGTTTTATCATGTATTTCGAATATACAAGAATGTGTAATTTATAACTCAACTCAATCAGTAAACCTAAATGGCCTTGAACCATACTAACATCAAAAGATATAAAAGACCACTCGAAAGCCTTTGACATCTTAAAGCAGGATATTTTATTATCGACGTTGCAATACTATAGAATAACAATATACAAAATATAATAATAATAGGTTATTACGAGGATACATCAAAGTATGCACGAAGACATTACAGCGGAAGTATCTTTTTTTTCAAGGACACATCATGGGAATGCCGCAATCCAAAAAGTTTAGAACAGAATCCGCTAACTTCTTTGTGTGGAGTTCGGTCAAACCTTGGTGGCAGCCATGTTTGTTTTTATTATTGGAGGACGCCGGCGCGTAATAATTCCATGTTTGGAATTCACATTTCCTTATATGATAGAATGAAAATACCCCGTAAAATACCACAAAATTAAGGCACGATGTAACTTATGGCGTTACGGTGACAGATTTATAATAATAATAATATATAACAACAACTAATAGGAAACAGTGTGTTCAATTTGATGGTGAATGTTCTCCACTCATTAAAATGAAACATGGTGTTTCTCAAGGCTCGGTTCTTGGGCACTACCTTACCTCATCTACATTAATTATGTTCATAATGCATCACAATTTGTAAAGTAAATACGCGTTTCCTTGCATACTAACGGAGTTTAATACGTAATAGAAGTAAAATTGTTGAAACAGTTACATAGAGCATAACTTTATAGAGTGGCTAAGTATTTTTTTAATGCCACAAAATACTATATAAGTAAATAAAACAGTTACAAGTAGTATACATTTATAGCGTCGGTTGAGTATTTTTGTTAACGCCACGAAAAATACGATTAAAGTAAGAAAAAAAATTACAGACTTGAATCTGTGAAATAGAATATGGGCATAGCGCTAAGAGCAAGCGCTTACGATTTCGAATTCTGGATGAATACGCCTAAACGTTGTAAGACAGGTCGCCATTTTCCTAACATCTATCTCGCGTAAAGCCGGACGAATGTATTCGTATAGTTCATAAATGTCAGTTTACAATCCAAAGTACCGTAACGCAGCTGGCGCTGCGACCTGTGAATTGATCCGACACACACGGCAGTTTATTCAGATTTAGAACTTGTCTACAGTTTTAGAAGCTTCATAACGATTATATTCAATTCTACAAAAGGAGAAAATGCGTCACAGAGTACATTTAGCAGAATATTTACAGAATATATTTTTGAATTGTTAATTAATTTCACTTTTCATGGTGGTGACAAAAGTATGAATACATATGTGAATAAATATGTGCATTCCTTTCGAGAATCATTTTACGCATTTTTTTCACAAGCCACATGTTATATATTTACCTAATTGCTTATTCGACTATTGGAATTGTATTTCTCAACTCCCTGAACAGGAATAAAAGCAAACTAACACCACGTGTCGTAGGATAAATTTGAGAGTATTGATGTATACTGACATAAATAACCCTGCGGAATGTGTTTACAGTAACATAGCGATTTCATTCCCGGGATAAAAGATAGGTGAATGCGTCCTCATCTCTTGTGGAAATTTCACCTTTGCTGGTAGATGAACTGCCGGTGTTAACTCTGTGTGATCCGTCACTTGTGCTTTGTGCGCAGAATATCGACACAGGTTCGCGTTTCATGTCAGTCAGTCAGTCAGTGGAAACAAATTGAAGCGTAGTACACGTGGTTAATTATAACTCATTTGAATATATTGTATTTCGTCTAATAAGCATTTTTACCAATCATGGGTATTTTTTGCAATCATACGCCCCTGAGCGGCCTTTAACTGCTGCGTAGACGATAAACATGTTTTGTTTCGAATTCAATGTTACCGAGTAGCCTTTACATCCCGTGATTTTTATGAGAAACAACAGATGATCTCGGGAATGCGGGTGTTCAGACCGATGTAGCGTTGGTCTCTGACCTGCCAAATCCACAGATTATTTTGGAAATATCAAGCGTGATGTTTTGCCTCCAAGAAGATTGTATATACCTTTACTGCCTTCCGAGGCGAAAAAAATGCCCTTAGTCCCTGCTGAGCTATCATCCATCATTCATGCCCAGAATGCACAAGTGATGAGTCTTGTGCTAAAATCACTAACCTCGCTGGACAGAAACGTGAAGGACATAACGCAAATGGGACAGCTGTTGGAAGACGAGAAGATCGAACAGTACCAACAACAAAAATGAAACATGAACTCATTCAGATCTATTTTATTCAGCAGCAGTTTGAGTAAACAGGATGCATACATCCTACACAAACCCGCTTCTATAAATGAAGAAAGTTGGTGGTTTTAGTGGACGAGGAGTGGGGCCGATCTATGTGATTGCTCCTCGATGCAACGGAGGATACAAGTTCTTGTTGACGGGCAGTGACGTATATTTAGAAATATGCTTTCGTTGTACTTTTGAAAGGCATGAGAGAGTTTTGTCGGAGCATTTCGGAGACGGGCGAGTTTATTTTGCAAGAATAATGCTTGCAAAAATTTGGCGGCAACACTTGCAATATGCAACAAAATATTATAGAGCACGTTCACGCAACAATACATGGTTTAAACACATCTCATTCAGATTCGTTATGACCATGAATACGTTTGGTAAAGTAAACTAAACACTGACCACCCAAACAAGATATTGCTGGAATAACTGTTATTTATTTAAATTGCAAATTCGACTGTTCAGTATGCGCGCTATAAATAACTAGCAGAAGATTAAGAGTATACCTTCTAAAAATGTACTCATACTGTACAATACTATTATTGGAAACGTTAACCTTTATCCCGAGGTTATATTAATATATATGATATAGGAAATTATATGATAGTGAAATATGTGAATTTACAGATTATAGTTCAGATTCATCTTGAGGTTGTGGAAAAGTTCAACCTTTCCGTCCTTTCAGATAGATGTTTCCAGATCCTCCAATACATATGTATATTCCCATATTCCGGTACCACTGTGGACAATTGTTTTGTATCACTGAAATCAGAGCAAGATGGTCCGTGGCTAATGACGGCAAAGTGAATTTCTAATATTTTCTGGAACATTTTGGTTTTTGACGTAATTTCAATTTATGAATTTGCGTTATGTAATCACAATTTAGATTTTAGCTGTGATTTTCGAATTTATACCTGTGGTGGCGATATTTAGTTTTCAACAATAGTATTTTGACATGAACGACGAAAATTAAAATCATGTTTTTAATTTGGGACGTTTCATTTTATTTAATCGCTAGCGAGCTCTTTCGGTTATTTGCACATCTTCAGTCGACGGCGCGCTCAGCAACGCGCACACTACAATGTTACCAGTCAGCTCTGTTTTGACGCCTGCTTTTTAATATTCATATAAATTGACACGTGTTCGTTTCGTACATTATATTCTAGAACTAAATTCACGCTAACCGATTCGTGTACGTGGCCTTGCTAATTGAAATGGAGATCGAAACTATTGTTGACATTGAGTATATCAGTGTTCTTGTCAAACAGGGAACTTCTCACGACGAGATAAAATCCCGGACGGGAAGGGGATCACTGGCCTTTCAGTTTAGTTGGGGTGTAGACTGGGAAGTAAAACCCCAGACCCCATCATAGAAAATTTTCACCTCAAAACCATACCTCATTATAGACCAAATAGTGATTTTGTATATCCCATCAGAGACCAAATTTTTACAAAATTCATTCAGTTATAGGTTGAATCTACTTATCACCAGAACTCGTCAATAAAAAGTACTAAACACGGGTAAATACATATAGGCAAACCTGAAATTGGACCTAAAGCTAAGCAACCCTATACCCAATTATAAGAAAAAACAGTTAAAAATTACGACCCCAAAAGACTTCATAATATAATCTGCATTACGCCCCCCCCCGGATAAAATGCCGGTTGGCTGCTCAATATCCGAGCATCGTGTAATTCCTGAAAGAAGCGTGCTACGATACTGTAATCATCGTGGTATACACCCTCTAATAAATGGGTCGTATTGTAAATGAGGCCGTCTGTGAACAAAGTCACGGGAGTAAAACATTGCACGATCCAACGCCAACTCCAAAATATAATATCACTCAACTCTTCCAAGCACTGAAGTGTGATTTCCAAAATAAAATAACGCCACCACAAGCATAACTTTGAAAACTACAGCTAATCTTTAAATTGTGATTTCTTACCACCAATTCACCAGTTGAAATTACGCCAAAAATCAAAATGTTAGATTCCAGAAAATATTAGAAATTCACTTGGCCGTCATTAGCCACGGACCCAATGTTTCAAGAACTTGACGTTAAAACAGACAAATTAGATTTTGATAAGGCTAAAACTGTTGTATGTCAGTTTTCAAATTAACAAGTCAATATTGGATGATTTCATATTTCATGCTAAATAGTTACCATCGAAATATACAATAACAGTATACATCTTCTCTGGTACAAAGTATAATAAATCCAAATGTTGTAGTATAATATTGCTTACCAAAACTGTTTCCAGTTCCATTTCTTCATTTTTTGTTAATTCTCTGTATCTCTCATGTGGTGAAACGTCATGCGCTGCTTTGGCTTTTCTGAAACACAGACCAATGATTGATAATAAGACATCATGAAAACAGCCATGGAAGAGTCTCGCTTCTGTCGATATGATGCATTATCATTGCATGTAATTTGAAAGTAATTTCACTATGTATTCCAAACTCGGGATTGCATATGAGTATAATAAGGCGAGAATTTACTTGTTCTACATGTGTTACGTTTATTGTTGGATACATACTGTTGCTGTAGTAATTCAACGGAAACTCTCATGATTCTGAATATCAGTTGATCTCGAATTACGACATTATAGCTGTCATGTACACATTATACATTACTTTGCTATTTTGTATAAACTACTATTGTTGCATGTGATGTTTTTTGAATATGAATTCATGAACATGAACATGCATCAGGCACACTTACTTGCCAAACTGTTCTGCTTGCTCAAATGTTTCAGGTAAGTTCTCGCCTTTTGTTTCCGGTAAAAATAATACCAGGACACTGGCAACAATAGACGTGATACCACAAGCAACTGCAGGAAGTGGTTTCCAAACATCACCAAGTACCATTAATTGAGGTGCGATAATGCCACCGACACGTGTAAATACACTGCACATCCCTACACCTGTTGTTCTGAAACCACAATCGAGTAGCAATTGAGATAACTGAAACTGGAAATGTTTGTCGATTTCTAGCTGTTGAAAATTCAAATAAATCTATCAAATTTATGAGTTAATAAAGTATAAATGAATAATCAGCAGATAGGAAAATGTGCCTATTACTTACCTTAATGCTGTAGGGAATATTTCTGCAGAAAATATTATTATTATTGCAAAACTAGTTGTTATACAAAATTTTCCAAGCATTGTTAATGTTGTTCGTATCCAAACCATGTGTCCGCCTACCAGTGAAATGATGAAAGTGAAAATATATTTCAAATATAATATTGTTAAGTTTGACAATTTAATTTGTTATTTTTTTTAATTTGTTGTTCACAATTTTTAATTTATTAACAACGAGCATATGGGGAAAACGAAAATGAACTTACACGCAGGAACGAAGCTTAAAGCGATGTTTGAAACACCACAAAACCCCATACTACAAAACGCAGACCACCGTCTTCCAATTCTACCATTTTCCATCATCACAAATGAAACGCCATATGCTGGTATTTCCACTGCAGCAGCAATGAATACATTCAAATATGGATTGCCTCCAAGATTTGATGTACCAAAAGATATACCAAAATACACAAGCCCACAAATGCACCTATTGGTAAATGGTTGAAATGCAATGCATATTAGCATGTTGACAAGCAGTGAAAAAGTCCTTGAAAACAAATATAAACCATTCAACGAAGATCAAACCTATCGATTCACCGATCTATTGTTATCCAACAATACCTACAACGTTGATTTTGAAAGGATAACGTTTAATCGTATTCGTCGTGATCGTATTGTTTGAATTTCGATACTTCATTTTTGGAAATTCAAAATATGTTCGTGAAGCATCTGTCAGTACCTTGCCATAGTTTGAAAACGATACTGCAGAACCTGTGGAAGGTAGATTTAGGCAAAGAAATGTCACTTTGTAACCAAGTTGTGCGAGTCGCAACCACGTAAACGATTCACCAATATCAGATACTTACAAACACACTGACAAGGAATGAATAAAGGCCAATACAGTTTTGTGCTATAACTAACTAAATAAGAATAAATGGCGAACTAGGTAACAATAAGAATAAATCTAGCTTTTGCTTGGACTAACATTCAAACAAAGTAAAAATAAGGTGAATACTTTGATAGAACGATACATATTTTGTTGGGCTGTCGCATATACTAATTGTCACTAGTATGCAGATTATCGTCGACTTGGAAACATGTATAACATTTAAAAATGGTAGTGTTTTTTTTCTCTCACTATCCGACTTACACAGAGTTGTGTATAAAATATTCATGCTTACCAAAAGTAAAACAATATTAAAGTCTTCTTTCTCATATTTGGGAATTTCAGAAGATCAATGGCTCTATGCTTCGTTTGGTCATTGGTTTCATATTTTTTCTGAAAAAAAAACATTTCTGAAATATAAGATATTTAAATATAAGTAAAGACCATCGATTAAATCGATTACATGAAATCGATTACATTGACGCGTTTTGTATGGGTACCTTCAATTACCTGTTCTCTGAGTCCATCAAGCGCATTCTTTGGAATTGTGATGTTATTTACTCTAGCACTCAATTGTATGATCTTCTTCGCTTCTTCTATACGTCCTTTAGATATTAACCACCTTGGTGATTCTGGAATGATCCTGATAATTAATTTTGAAATATTATTTGCCTGACGTTCAAAGGATTTTGTCGAAAAACGAATGATATAATTTCATTGGGAGTATAGAAATAAAGTGTTATTTTTATACCTGTTTATTCATTATTCCTATGACAAAACCGTCGTGTACCACATGGCTTTATGTTATTTTTTCATTACTAAGTTTATGTATCTGTTGTTATTCTTCTATTTACTTTCAATCGAATTAATGGACAGAAATGGTTTCTAGGGGGACAAGATATTCAGACCCGCGGGTTTTGAAGTTTTTTCAAGCCTGGTACGATCATGGTTATCACCAAAAAAATTAACTCGGGTTTTTGGGAGGTTGTTCCTCAAAGGATCATCAAATTTTCAAAAATATTTTAACTTTGCAACTGCCTTCGTCGCGAAACCAAGTTAGTCTGGGCGCTCTCTCCGGCAACTTTCCATTGACAATCTATTTTTCCAGCATTATAGGTTAGTTCAAGTTAAAATTCACACCATGCTTGTTGGCACAGATCTATATTAGTGAGTGCATTGTGTATGATACGGAATAATTGGGTTTCATTCTGCTATATCGGACACTTTTCAATGTTATCAGTTTAAAATTATCAATACATCTCACTGACTTGTACGTCTTGTATGTTGTATAATTTAACTTTATAACAAATCTTACTTGTTATACCTTATAATACAAACTAGGTGTATTTTTGATACTTACCACCAGTAACTCAAAAAAACTAGAGATGGAGCAATAGTTGCTAACTGTAGTTTCCACCATTCTCGTATAAAATATGCATATACAGCTAGTAGCATGTAACCAATACTGAAGAATATGGGATATATTAACCCAACCATAGCGCGCTTTGTTGGTCCTACATGTTCTGAAACTAACGTGAAGAAAAACATTAAAAAAGTAAACCAATGATCATTCCTAATTTACCTTGGTGCAAGCCACTATTGTGTCTCTAATTAACGTTGTGTGTTAGGCATTTGGCTTGAAATGTTGTTAAATATGTGTTGAATAAACAGTGTATAGTCGTATAATTGTTGTCCAGTGACTTATTACTGGCACATACAAACCCATAATGAAGCAAGACAAAAATATTCCAAATGTAAATAATGTCAAGAAAAACCGTAGAGTGAGAAATGCAATATAGTTGGGAGAAAATGCACCAGCGACACCAAATAATATAGCTGCACTGTAGGCAATAATATATCCTCTCATACGACCAAATCTGTAATGAACAAATCTTGTATTTAGAGAGGTGCAATACGAATTGAACATGTTTATTTCGTACTAGGTTTTCATTTTGTATGTAAGTTTCATTTGATTGATCTCATCGATGTATATGATAAGTCCGTGGATAAATGCTGTGGCTCGGACATTATAATAAAAATATGTATTGTGAATACAATAATAATTCAACCACAACCTGTCAAATATGTATCCATTCAAGAACGAACCCACAAGCATTCCCGTCATATTAACAGTTAATACTAGTGTATTCAGGTAACTTCGACCACAAACTAAGTCAAACTATAATATAAAAAAAAATGTTCACGATCAGATAGAAAAAGTAGGTTACACTTTTTATATGATATTGTGATTCAAGAAGTTATATCTATGTGTTGAAACATTATATGACGTATAGACATTCTATTAATTATAAACCATGACTGAATATGAATGATTAGGCCTAATTTTTAAATAATTTAGATGTAATAATTATGAACAACCGTAATGTTTGGCAAAACGGAAAATAACGGAAAACATAAATGTGTCATTATTACTTGGATTATATGACGGATTTCTTTTGTAATGAATAAATATTTGTACAGATATTTGAAGCCGGAACTGAAGATTTCAAAATCTAAAAAATTAATTCACAAAATTAAAAAATACGACATATGTGGTAATAGAGAACAGCCTCATATAATGTACACATAAAACTCATACAGCTGGTTTTGAGCGTATTTTGGAGGAATATTGAGAAATTTCCCTGCAGGTCGTTCACAATTACAATAAATATTTTCAAAATTAAATTGTTTGCTGGATTTCCTCGTGGACAACAATCAAGCATTAGTTTGTCACATGCAAAACTAATACAATCGACTATGTAAAAATAAACACATTTACTGGAGTGTAAAGGTCATTTCGCTAATTTCTTACTCGGACGACAAATTTGATGTAATGCTAGACGCAAAAACGGACGACCACTTTTAATTTACGTTTAATTTACAAGCAAAACATGTCACGTAAATAAAAAGATAAACAAGATGGTAAACAAGATGTTATAAAGATATGATCACATTGCATAAAACTGATAAATATTACAATTTAACTTAATTATAGATTATCAACAAAATCACAGTGACTACTATTTTTAAAGCATAAATGAACAAAATATGCAAATAAAGAAAACGCTCAGAATTTTTGTATGATGCATCAATAAGCATTTTAGGAAATCAATCAAGATTGACATCAATGATACTCACTTCTGATGTTACTGTTGAATACGATTCATCATATTCCCATCCAATGTCGCATTCTACTGTTTTAGTGTTGTTGAAGTAGCTTTGAATACTTCCCCTTGTGACGTAGGACATGGTTTCATACGAGATATCATAACGATGACATTGGTCATATGTCAACACAGAGCCACATCCAACATTTTTTCGATGTTTTGGTATGGTGAGATTTTTCACAAACTCCTCACAGTTACTTGTGACATTGTCAATACAGAACTGGTGTTTAATTTTGTCAATATGAGGCACCTTGCACCATGGTATAGTAGGTGGAAACTGGAAGACTAGGATAAAGTAAATAACTGGTACTGTCATAGTTGACATGGAAAGTAAAATAAAACATCTTTTTTGATAGGTTCCAAATTCTCCTAGAACACTTTTTAGTATATCATCATAGTTTAACATATTTCCCTGAAAAAAAAGGAATATAGGTATAAGATTTCAGTAAAAGACAATTTCAGACATTTGGTGTAAAACGCAAAAAAATAAATAACTAAATATGGTCTTGCATCGTGAGTGAGGCCCTCTATAGTTGAGATCAGTTTCTTTATTTCTCCTTCGTTTCAGTAAAAGACAATTTCAGACATTTCTGCTTTTGGTGTAAAACGCAAATAAATAAATACTAGTAACTAAATATGGTCGTGCATTGTGAGTGAGGCCCTCTATAGTTGAGATCAGTTTCTTTATTTCTCCTTCGTTTCTTGGCGCAAAGGACAACGCTATTACAGAAGTCATGGTTACTGATTGACTGTTCGGTATTCAAATGAAATCTATTGACAGCTGTCTAGTCAGCACGAAAATACTAATATGACTTGTTTTCAAAAACCGCTTACTGCGTGGCTCCCACTTTGATATTTTTGTTGGTTTTGAGTACTGATCTGAGTTTACAGAACTCCTGCAGGCACAAATTTTGTCCAAAAAATCATTAATAATTCCAATACCAACACAATGACTGATTCAATCAGTCCAATTGAAATAAATTTAATTCAATAATTATAACCCCAAAACACACACTACACCATATACACACATATATCATAATAACTACTCACAGTCCCATAATAATCCTAATATACATAATCGGGAAAAAGCCAATAAATATGAGAATATTAATTTTTACCAAAAATGCTATTTAATGCACTTAACACTGTATATTACAAAAGGCCTATCATATTTTAAAACATTCAACCATATGTCGTTATTGTATGCAATACAAAAAAACCACAGAAAAAAAAAACAATTGACATTATCAAAGGTTGTGTTGTTGAAATAAAAGGTGAATGTCTGATGATGAATTTTTGCTTTATTAGTTGAAAATTTGATTAAGATATTTATTTTCATTATGGTATGACATATTATGCGCTTCATTCATAAAAGGTAACTAATATTAATATTATTACATATGTGTAAAGCGATCGCTGATATGCTACTACTAAAAATGTGTCCTAGGTCACACTCATCGTTCTGATGAGCAAAATAGTGCTACAATGCATGTTCTACGTATTGCTATTCATAAATAGCTTCCTGGCTGATTTGCATAACTAATATGTTTTACCAAGGTCTGTGAAAGAATATATCTTGTAAAATATTATCATTACAATGAAACTGAATTGTGATATTTTCTTTTTTTAGTTCACAATTCACGGAATGCGCTTAGGATGTTAAAGATCTGACGAACGCACTGTGATGAAGGTGATACCACATTTGTCGAAACCACAACAAACAAAATATTAATATATGCCAGGTTAACATTCATAAAAATACTTCAAACTGGCGTACTTATACTGTATACTCACCATGATTGGCTATGAAAATAACCTAGTGTACTTACGTATACTTGTAAATGTGCTGGTATTCTGACGCCCCCTAAAAACTATATCGATACATTTTGGTCATTTATTGCATTGTACATAACCCGTTTCCATTGTCACATGATGAGTAGTGTCACATAAACAATCAACAAACACACAAACAAACAAACATGGACTATCTTTAAATTTACGTACAATACATCCAACCCCTTTCATTTAAATATATTTTTATGTTAAATGCTCAAATTTCAATATCCTTATTCCATAATATAAATTTAATTGCTCATAATTTGAAAATAAATGCTTATATTTTAACTGTTTTTCATATTTTAAATTTAACAGCTTATATTAATCCTAATTTAAATTGTCATATTAAAATGCATCATAGTTTTGAATATGACCCTAATGATAAATCTTAGTCCATAGTCCATGTTTTTGCATGAACCCTCATTGATTTCAAAGTATCTTGCTTGTTGGCGTGTTCCTTCTCAAATCAACAAAGTGGGTGTAGTATTGCATGCATTTTCTTTTCTCAGTGTCCAGTTTGCATGATTTGAAATGTTTTACTTCTTAATGTAATTACAGTGCTGAAATAATTTATTATTTAAATTAAAATATTCACAGTTGTTTTAAAACACGTGTACACATAACGTATTAATATAAGTTTTAATTGTTTTAAAAATAATCTGCATGTAAATTCGTCTAACAATTTTAACAATTTCAGCATATCTAACAGATCACAGTTTAGAGTTATGATTGGGTGGTTTTTGTAAATGTATGTTTTTACTTAAGTATTAGAAAAAAATCACAATACATATATTAACTGGGAGCTTTCATTCTTTGTCTTTGGGTGCGTGACTTTAAAATAGGGTGATGCAAATTGTTTTTCAAGCTTAACGTTCTGGCATGTAATGTATTCTCTACACTTTAAAATAATCATAGCAGAGGGGTGATCACAATAAATGTTTAGCACATGTAGTAATTTCTGAGTTCGAAGAACAGTGCAACACGAAATCAGAGGTGACAGGATAAGAATCAGCATGCAGACCTGTTTTGAGTTGTGATTTATAGCGTCGCGTGAAGTCACTCTATGTATCATTGGAAGAAGGATTTGTTAATCCAATAGAGTAAGTTGTGAAAGTGTTGGGAAAGTGCCGACTGCGATTTTATAATTAAAATCATATTATATACCATATGCAACAAATTATTTATGCGAGAATTGCATGATATATTACTTCTTTATTGCCTCTGTAGTAAGTTATCCCACGCACAGCCAAGATATACAGTAAAGGATGGTAAAAAGTAAATTATTTGATAAGTCTGCATGGATTCATGATAGGGCTGAAACATATGCTATTTATTTGTCACCGTAATCTGATTAGTCTGTGAACTGTCTGACATCGTGACTAAAATATGCATTAGTACAAAATATTTGTAAAAATAATGATTAAAATATATACACAAAATATTGGAAACGTGATTGAATATTCAGATTACAAGAAAGATACCACAGACTAATGATTTCACGTCATGTCTGAACAGATGTACAATAATGACTAACATATGTTAGTTTATTGGTTTAATAAATAATTTTTGAATTGATTTTAGACAACTTTGTATACTTAATTTTACTATGTATACAGTGCACCGACGAACCACTGTCATTTTGATGTAGGGTTAATTAGAATGACGTAGATTTCAGTATCATTGGAGAAACCAATGTTTTGATTATGAAAATTATACATGCTGTCGTTGCGTCAGTGGTCGATATCATCGTGACAATAAAGAATCGGCATACCTTTATAATTAATTTCCATTTGCGTCTAAATCTTAAATTTGGCCTTTAAGACTGAAACTAAATATTGTACCTATTGAGCAAGTTACTGATTGTGTTGCACTGCCTTATGGGAGATAAATTCCAGTTCATGTTATGCAATTGAACTGATACTTACTAAAATTGACTGCCGATATTTTTCAATTTTAAAAACTAATTTAATTTAGCAATGGGAATATATGTTTTTGTCATCATTTTCACAAAAATCAGTTTCGGTAAATCAAATCACCCCCCCTTACAATAAATAACAAAGATTAGAATAGTCCACGAATCAGTGTCCATTGATTGGTCAATACCAATATAATTATTAGTATGAGAAGAATGACTTTTATATGTTTAATTTAGTCTTATATTATTTAAATTTTGCTACTTCTCTAAGCAATACATTTTTAAAATATTTGGTGTAGCGGCAAACAGAATATGCCACCATTAAATTTAAAATCTGCTCAGAAAAAAATACCAAGCGCACGAAATGACGACAGGAATGTAACTTTGTCTGTAGTTGTCTTTTTTTATCGAGGGGTTTGAGTGAACCAATTAACAAATCATGACCATATATGATCGTCTAGTGTTTTAGTCATATCTTTTGCAACCAGTTACATTTCCTTATTTGCAACAGTGCTTGATATATTACACTTATGAATATTAATACCACAAAACAACTATGCATAGCATTTAAAAATATCACAGACACATCACTCTAGTTTCATTTAATTTTGTATGTACATGGTGTGTAATTTTGAACGATATTCATTTTAAGACCACGTCCGAAAATCACTTGACAAAAACATACCATGAAATGTACAAAATAGCTAACTTACAATTAAATCTTGATCCGGGAGTGCTTTTACTGTACGTAGTAGTCGTGATCGACTGTCATATGAGAGACTGGCGTGTGACTCGAATATGTATTTTTACTGAATGTACCAGGAAAAATCAGAAAATGCCCGGATGTGTCTGATATGTTGTACATAATTGGAGGAAACATTTTTCATCTTTTATTTTGCATATTATAATAAATTAAATATTTTGTTATGTCCAAGATTTTGAGTAGAGATTACAAAACATCTGAATAGACGAACTTTTACAAATATTTATTTATTAGTGTAGTTAATGATTAAACTAAAAAATAAGTGACGTCATTTCTTTATCAAATAATATATCATAATAACATATACTGTTAGACAAAAAATATCTTATATACTTCTTATAGTGAATATACATATTAGCATATACAGAACTTAAACTTACGTCATTACATAAATTAGCATATACAGTACTTACAATTACGTCATTACATAAATTAGCATATACAGTACTTAAACTTACGCCATTACATAAATTAGCATTTTGGTAATTGTGGCGAGCTATAGTATTAGTCATTTGAATCTAGTCTGGGCCAACTAATTACTGTGCATAAATGACAAACATCAAAACTTAATGAAATTTTTTGTATGTAAAATAATATAACTAAAATTGTTATTTTTTGAACTAGCGAATATTTAATCATGTTTAGGTATAATTTAAATTCACTTTAGAAAATGAGTATCAATATCCGAGATACATTCATCTAGCAGACTGTGGTGTTGGGCCTATAATATAGTGGTTGTTGAACGAATCTCATTTTCTTGGCCACTTATGAAAATCTGCTTCTTGACTAATTCCTAACA